CTCATGAAATGGGCGGATGAGAACCTGATGGTATTCAACACCAAAAAATGCAAGGTTCTCCACCTTGGGAGGAAAAACCTAGACTATGCATATAGGCTCGATAGTGCTATGCTGGTTAGCTCTACAGATGAAAGGGACTTCGGGGTCATGGTTGACCACAGGATGAACATGAGCCTTCAGTGTGATGCTGCGGCTAGTAAAGCAAGCCAAATATCAGTTTGCCTCCAGAGATGCTTCTGAAGCAGATCCTGGGACGTCGTTCTCCCGTTGTACTTGGCCTTGGTGAGGCCACAGCTGGAGTACTGCGTCCACTTTTGGGCTCTGCAATTCAAAAAAGATGTGGAGAAGCTTGAGAGGGTGAAAAGGAGAGCCATGCACATGATCAGAGGGCAGGAAAACAGACCATATGATGAGAGGCTAAGAGCAATGGGGCTATTCAGCCTAGAAAAGCACAGGCTCACGGGTGATCTGGTGGCCACCTATAAGTTTATCTTGGGTGCTCATCGGGATCTGGGGGAATGACTGTTCACCAGAGCCCCCCCAAGGGATGACAAGTTCGAATGGTCACAAACTCCACTGTGACCGGTTCAGGCTGGACATAAGAAAGAACTTCTTCACTGTTCCAAGGTTTGGAACAGACTGCCACCTGAGGTGGTTCAAGTGCCCACTTTGAACACCTTTAAAACACATTTGGATGCTTATATTGCTGGGATCCTATGATCTCTGCTGACTTCCTGCCCCTGGGGCAGGGGGCTGGACTCAATGATCCTCCAGGGTCCCTTCCAGCCCAAATGTCTATGAAATATTTCCTCTGTCTTAAGAGTTCACTTTCTGGAAAAAAATGAAGCTGCAAATTGCTGACCAAAGAAAAAACACAGAGTTCTATCACACAGTTTTCAATGTATTTACATCTTCGGTGAAGGTGAGCAATCCTTGGAGGCTTTTTTACTATATTGATACAGCTAGAAGTCACTGAGGGCAAAAAGAAGTAGCCTCAATATGTCATACATCTACCCAACAGATAACTGCAGACTAAATCATTTTTATGCAACACTATACACAACACACTGATTTCTGGCAAATTACCAATGCCATCCTTTGCAGAGTATTTCTGCTGTGCCATATAAATTCAATAAGATTTTAAATAAAAGCAAGATATCTCTTTGCTAAAAATGTCCACTATGACCAAAGACAGTAATATATATACACCTACATGAATTAAAAATGTATTCATATATTTCTATTCATGCATATTCATACATCCACACACAATTGCATATTGAAGAAAATATTTTTAAGAAGATCAGTCAAAATGGTTATATAAAATCAAATGAAAAAAGATATTATATGAGAAGATATTGCATATGATACATGGAGTTAATCTGACACTTTTTAACCACCCTGTATCAACTACTTCTAGTAAACCTCACTGCACATGCTGGAGTTGCATTTGATAAATCATACTTGGCAATACTATCTGAGTGAGATAACTAACACTTTTAGCAACTAATAAATCAAACACTCATGTAAAGCCACTGTCTTTTTATTTCAATGCAGATTATAGATACAATTCACTCCAGTAAACTGGCTGATTAAAAGCTTTATCATGCAGTCTCTATATAAACTGACTAAATGTTGAAGCCTCTAAATTCTGCCTATGCATGCTTCTTTAAAGAAGTTTAATAAGAAAAATAACTCTAAAACAATTTAAGAAAACAAACACTTACAGGAATCTTCACTTACAGGAATCCTCCTTAATGATATACAATCTATTACTATATTGCATTTGTGCTAAAAAAAAAAACCCTCCAAAACAGGTGGGAGGAGGGGTTTTGCTTTTTAAAATCTACAATGCAACAGAATAAAAATAGAATGAAACCAACCAACCTTGGCCTGCAAGATATTGCTTCCATTGCAAATTCGGTGTTAACTGTGATATATATAGCATTGGCCACTTGCAATAATAGCTACAACCATGAATTAAGTCTTCTTTGGCAACTTGTCCACGCTTAGCTATTTCCTGAAAGAGAGTTACATGTTCAACATTAAAGTGAACATTTTGAAAACAAAATAAAAAGAATCAAAATAAAAGCAAAAAAAATGAAAACAGTATTTTCTTATTTAAATGCTGTAGAATCAAACCAATTTGGAGAAGCATGATGTTTATTTTTAAGAAGTTTTTCTTTGTAATAACAGAGCCAATTTACTAAACATTTCTGATACGGCTGGTACTTTACTATAAAGTACTATAATTCTGAGAAATGGAGATTAGAAGTTTTTCTTAATTATAAACTGCTTTAAAAATGATAAAACAACATTTTCTTTTAAGGGAGGTGGGGGCAGGGGGAGGACTCCTTAATTTGACATCCTGTTTCTCCTTGCATAAATCACATTCTCAACACAGAGGCTCTGGTCTTTTTAAGTATAAAGCTGCTGCTTAGCAAATAAAAAACAGCTGCCTTCAGAAGCAGAAGAATGGTGCCTTAAAAGGAGTGTTTGCACTTACAATTAAGTTTAACAAGGCTTGGGTCACACTGACAGAATACTCTTGTACACTATACAGTATTAGCCACACTTCACTGAAGTGGCTTAACACCTATCCTGTAAATTTGACTTTTTGCTATTTGCAATACATTAGAGTATCACATTGGTTATTAGCCAAGATATCATCCAGTGTCTGAGAAGTTATATCACCCTTATAGAAGGGAGAGAAATACACTGTGATATTACAGAATATATTATATATATTGGTTTGTTTAATGGTACAATATAACATTTATCATTTGCAAAATCTCCATTAATTGCTGTTTTACTTTTCAGCACGTTTTCTTTTTGTCAGCAAAGAACTACATAACAATTATGGATATCATGGGTAGGAAGTGAGAGCAACCAAATGTAAAATCCTCATAAAAGTCATGATCCTGGGCATATCTACATTAGATGTTTACTATAGAGTAGATTAATTAGCTTCAGAGTAAACATCTCACATCTATGCACACAGCCCTATTAGGCCACAGGAAACTAATAAACTCTGCAGGGGGTTAGTGTTTGTGAATACAAAGTACAATTCTGCTGTAGAGTAAAGAAAAACAAACCACAAACAACTCTGCAGCAGTGCACTTGTGGATGCTGACGCGGCTGGCTGGGGCACGAGGGTGATTCAGTGCAGGGATGCCTGCCAGCTAGCCCTACACTGGAGCACCCTCATTCCCTAGCCAGCCCCTCCTCAACATGTTGAGCTGGATCAGAGCAGCCCCAGGCTGGCAGGTTGACCCTCCAGGGTCTCCAACCCATAGATCCCAGCTGCAGATCATGTTTAAATAGTGCACCTGGAAGCAATAAACTCTAGCATGATCTGTGCCAGTTTATTGCTGCGTGCTAATAGCATGTGGAGATATACCACCTGACCATGATAGAAAAAAAGGCATCCCTCTCCCTGTACCTTTTCTAGCTCCAGAAGGCCTGGTAGTAGGCACACATAAAAGCAGCAGCTGAAGTTTACTGATGACAGCAGGAGATGTCACTATTTTTTACCACAGGCAGACGCATGGAATGCCAAAAAACCCTCCTGTTCTCAGCAGCAAATGTTTCCCCCCTGCAAAAGTGAACTCCAGTCACTGCTGCTGCACAGGACTGCATGTCTCAAAGTGCTCTTCACTTGTTGACACACACACTGTCACTGCTTACTGTTGGGTTTAGGAAAACTGGGGGCTAAGAGGGTGAAGCACCCCATGCTCCACTCTGGCATCCTCCATCCCCCTGTTAAGCAGCATCTGGGACTTGTGCCCTGCTCACCCACCTATCCTTGTACCACTTACTAGCAATTAGAGGCATCTAATCAGGTCTCAAAGCCCAAATACCACCATTTGTTTATTAATGAAAAATAACAATCAACAGGGAACAAACTATGCTTCTCTAGTCTCTGAAAGTTTTTAAGAGATGAGAATCAACCTCAACCTGAAGAGCCTAAACAAACAAGGAAGGAAATTTAAGTTCACCATAAAAACACTTGAAACACATCAGCAACTCCTGGCTAGAGTTGAATTTCTGAATTTATCTGATTGTGCAGAAGCATATCTGAAAAGGTATAACAGTAGCTAGGCACCTGAGCAGCAGTGATGCATGGGGCAGCAGTGAGTTCTGGCTGTCAGTGCAGCTGGAGTGATACTTGTTACTTTTCTCTCCCTCCCCACCCAGTGAAGTTGATAATGCGACCTTAGTTATACTACTGCCCACCTCCACCACCTTTATTGGAACTTACAGAAGATTTCCTAGGATCGCTTTGCAGACAGAAACACAATCATAATAGGGCATGTTGATTACGATGAACGGCACTTACAATATTTATAATATCAAACAGCCATACCAGTGGCTCAGCTATGACACTGGCCAATTCCTTCAGCACCCGTGGATGGAGATCACCCGGGCCAGCTGACTTGTACTCATCCAGCCATTCCAATGATGGACAATAAGAAGTCCTTCTTTAAATACATAGGGGGTAAAAAGAAGGTTCCAGGTAATGTGGGGCCCCTGCAGGACATGTTAGGAAATTTGGTCGTCACACCAGACGACAAAGCCAACATGTTTAATGATTTCCTTGCCTCCATCTTCCTAAGCAGGAACCGGAACAGTCACCCCCCCGCTGGACTCCCCTCAGGCCCTAGGGGAGGCGCACATAGGCCAAGGGTTAGTGAGGAACTA